TACTAAGACTATCAGCTGCTAGAGAGAGGCATACTCCCTCACTGCTCATCCCTTAGTGGGTGCATTGTGAGGCCACCTCTGGGAAACTCTGGGGATCTCAGATGGTGTTATGAAAGACGCCTGAAGAGTATGTTTGCAAACACTGGGATAATAACAGGAATCACATAAAAGATGCTCATTTAAAGAAGCTTGGGTTTTTTTGGGCTTTGAGAGATGGCTCAGGGGTTAAGAGTACTGATTGCTCTTCCAGAGGTCCTGAGTTCAATTCCCCAGCAACCACATGGTGGCTCACAAACCATTTGTAACCAAATCTAGTGCCCTCTTCTGGTGTGTAAGCATACATCCAGGCAGAACACAACATACATAATACTAAAGCGAAAAAAAAAAAAAAAAAAAAAAAAAAAAAAAAAAAAAAAAAAGAAGAAGCTTAATTTTTTTTTTAACTCCCTTCATAAAGGCTAATTCTCTTATCCTAAGAGAAAAAAAAAATCCTCTGTGTCAGTTGACATCCTAGAATATCCCTGGAAAGATCATGAAACAGCTCACTGAATTGAAAAGAAAATGATAAATAGAGGACTTTGTTCGGTTTACTCATATGTGTGCTATATGAGTCTGTACATTTGAGTGAAGATGGTCCACAGAAGCCAGAAGAGGGTATTGGATCCCTTGGAGGTTGAGTCACAGTTGTAAATACCATGTACAGGTCCTAGGAACCAAACTCAGGTCCTCTCAACACCTTTCCAACTGAGCAAATCTCACCAACCCAGTGAGAAATTTTTGTTTTGTTTAGCTTTGTTTTTGAGACAGGGTTTCTCTGTGTACCAATCCAAGCTAGGTATTTTTTAAATAGTGTTTTTACTTCTTTGAGAATTTCATACAATATATTTTGATCAAATTATTCCCCCTCCCCCAATTCCCAGGTGAAGGATTTTTTAAAAGAAATCTAAAATAAACAAATCTAAAAGCTCCTGGTGCTTTGTTTTGTAGTAATCAGCAGTGTTAGCCAGCCTCACAAGGAAGGGCTTAAATCTTAGCATGTGGTTCTCTCTGCTAAAAGGACCCGGGGCCCTTGGGAAGCAGGAGCTAGCAGCCACCACCTAGAAGATTCTTAGACTCCTCAGATAATCCAATAGTTTCTAGTGTGTATGGCTCTCCCTATAGAGACATTACACATGTGGCTACTGTATTCTGGTATGGAATAAGACTTTAAGAAAACACACACTTTGCCAGGTGGTGATGGCTCACACCTGTAATCCCAGCACTTGGAAGACAGATGAGGTAGATCTCTTAGAGTTCAAGGCCAGCCTTGTCTCTAAGAGGGAGTTCCAGGACAGCCAGGACCCACAATGAAATCCTATCTCAAAAAAAGCAAAAAAAAAATTATAGAAAGAAAGACTTACTTCACTGGAGCAAGTTCCCAAACAGGTTTAACACCAAAACTATATACATGTTAGCAATCGAATTTACCACTTGAGCTATACTCCCAGACTCTAATTCCTTTATAGGCCTACCTCACTTTTTTGAAGTATGGAGGGGGCTGCTGATATAGCTCTGGGGACTTTGCTTCTGGATCCTGTCTCAAGCACCTAAGTGCTGAGAATGTGCTCACATCTCACCATTACTGAAGACTTAAGTGGAAAAACATTCGAAGTTCCTAGTTGGTCCTCCAGAGGACAGACTATTGGAGAATCTTTATAGGTGTGTTCCCTGAGAGGATATAGACTCCCTCCCTCTGCACCAGCCTTGCCTAGTAAATAGATCCTAGTAAGCCTCCTTCCAATGAATGAGGTGACATGTTGGGCCTAGATGTGGATCCAGGTGGTAGAGGTATGACATGATAGGGGGTTTCTTATTGTTGTGAATGAAATGTCCCAGTATACTTCATTAAGACTCAGTAACAAACCAGACTTGGTAGTGCATGCTTTTAGTCCCAAAACTCAGGAGGCAGAAGCAGACAAATATTTGTCAGGCAGAAGTCTTGACTGGATTATTTTGTTAGTAAATACATATAGCCAAATGATAAAATCATATTTACAACAAAATTACTAAGTATAGGAAAAGTTAAAATATTTTTGTTGCCTTTGGTGCCAACCCTTTGTGTATGTTCTCTCTAATGTTTAAGAGGTGACTTTGTTCTTGAGTATTAATTTTCTGAGTGGTAATTATTAACCTAGAGCTTGACTAACACCATCACATGAACTGTGCTGTTATTTCAGTTATATAACTTGTTTCAGTTCCTAGGAGACTGTCTCAGCTGCAAGGTCTCAGTGGAAGTTTTACCCTGTTGATGCTTAGATTCTGCCAGGCCACTTTATTCAGGTGTGAAGAAATAAACTTTTTGAGCTCCAGGAGGTTTGGGGTACTCCATTCTAGTCACCTGCAATCACCTGGCACTTAATTATGTATGAAACTCCTGTTTGCAGTATCGACTTCCTGCCAGACAAACTGTATTTTTTTTTTTTTTTTTTTTTTTGAGACAGAGTTTTTCTATAGCTTTGGAACCTGTCCTGAAACTAGCTCTGTAGACCAGGCTGGCCTGGAACTCATAGAAATCCACCTGCCTCTGTCTCCCAGGTACTAGAATTGAAGGCTGTGCCACCACCACCCTACCCCACTTTGTATTCATTATGGCAATGTAAGTTACTGATTTTCGGAAGTCTACATGCTCTAAGTGGGATTTTTTTTTGGGGGGCAGCAAAACAAGGTTTCTCTGTGGTAGCCCTGGCTGTCCTAGAACTCATTCTGTATATCAAGCGGCCCTCTACCTCCGAAGTTCTGGAATTAAAGGAGTGGGCCACCACTGCCCAGCCAAGCAGGATATTTGTGTCAAAGCTAGAATCACACTTACAGTTACACACACACACACCCCTATTCTATTCTCTTCGTTGTCCTGTTTATTCTATAGCAAAACCATACTCTATGCTTTTTTAGATTTTAGATAGGGTCTCTCCCTCTCCCAACCCCTTCTCTCTCCCTGTCCTAGATCATCTTTGAATGCACAGTCCTGACTCAAAAAACACATTCAACTCTAGCTTTAAATAAGATGATATCTGTCAGAGAAAGTCCCCATGGCATGTCCTTCAAGAGTCTTGTCTTGGCCATTCTTGAATCTTTTTAAATGTAAAGATCAATTGAGAAAAATAGAATCTTTTAGCATTGTCTTCCAGACCAGGAACATGGAAGCCAGCTATGCTAACCACTATACCATTACCACGACAGGAACATGGACAGCATATAACACTCCTGCCAGATTTGACAGAGAGACAGGGTTTCTGTGTATAGCTCTGGCTGTCCTGGAACTTGCTCTATAGACCAAGCTGGCCTTGAATTCACAGAGATCCGCCTGCCTCTGCCACCCCAGTGCTGGGATTAAAGGTGTGCACCACTACCACACGACTGTTTAGAACTTCTTTAAGTTTTTTATTATTTATTTATTTATTTTTGTGGCTGTGCATTTATGTAATTTATGTACTTATAAACACTCATGCCCACAGCATTTGTGGATTTTTGTTTCTTTGTTTGTTTGTTTGTTTGTTTGTTTTTTGAGACAGGGTTTCTGTGTAGCTTTGGAGATTGTCCTGGAACTCACTCTGTAGACCAGGCTGGCATCGGACTCACAGAGATCCACCTGCCTCTGCCTCCCAAGTGCTGGGACTAAAGGCATACGACACTACCCAGCCAGAGGACAGCTTTTGAAAGTTGGTTCTCTGCTACCATATAGGTCCCATGGATGAAACTCAGGTTGTCATGGCTTCATGACTGAGTCATCAAACCAACCCAAAACTTAGTTCTCTTCTTTTAAGATTTATTTTTATTGTATGTGTGTTTTATTTTATGAGTGTTTTGCCTGAGTGTATGTGTACCACACGCGTGCCATATCCACAGAGGCCAGAAGAGAACATTGTATCCCCTAAAACTGAACTTACAGACAATTGTGAGCCCAGATCCTCAGGAAGAGTAGCACATACTCTTAACCACTGAGCCAGTCTAAGGTTTATTTTTTATTTTTAATTATTTGTATATATGTGTGTGTGTGTGTGTGTGTTTCTGTTTGTGAGTATGTGCATGTGAGTGCAGGTGCCTGCAGAGACCAGAAGAGCATGGCAGATCCCCGGAGCTAGAGTAACAAGGCAGTTGTGAGCCACCTAATTTGGATGCTGGGAACCAAACTCAGGTTCTCTGCAAGAGCAAAGTGTGCCTAACCATTGAGCCATCTGCCTAGCCCCCTGTTTTTCTGTTTCCTCCTTTCTGTTTTTTTTTTCTAGCAGTACTAGAGATGAAACCTAGAACTTAATACGTACAAGGTAAATGCTCTGGAACCCTGAGCAATAGCCCAGCCCCTCAATAATTCTTTATAATTTCATTTTATTATTTTAAATTATTTTTATTTTTTATAATTCTCTTATATACATCTTTCACATCCCCATTAGATTTATTCTATGAAAGTACATTGTTATCTGTTAATGTTTAACAAAGTATCTACAAAATAGCAGCTTTAAATAACAATAAACCTTATTCTTCAGAGTTTCTGCTAATTTGGTATAAAAATGAATTTAATAGGTGATTGTACCTTGGGATTTGAGAGGTCAATAATTACGTCATCTGGGGTTGCAGTCCCCTGAAAGCTTGAATGGGGTGGGAGGATTTAATTCTAAAAATGCTAAGTCATGTGGCTAACAGGTCAGTGTCACCTGCCAGCAGTCACAATACAGATTCTCTAGAGAAAGTGAGGTGTGGTGACCCTATGCCTGTAATCTTAACACTTGGGAAACTGAGGCAGGAGGCTCATGATTCAGGACCAGCCTGGGCAATATAGCAAGACATTTTGTTGGAGGTTGTGGGGGGCAGAGAGGGAAGAGGAAGAAAGGAGAGGAGAGACTCATGAGACATTTCAAGGTCAGTCTGCATTGCTTCTTGATGACTACAAAGGGATGGGGCATCTGGCACACCTGAGCACTGTGATGAGGCCTGCCTGGTGTCTCTGCTGGTGGCCTGGCACCTAGTTATTAGTCGGTGATATTTTCTTTCTTTTTCTGAACAGGTCCCGAATCAGCAAGGTAGAACTCTTCAGATCATTCCAGAAGCTGCTGAGCAGCATTGCAGAAGACAAGCAGCCAGACTCTGTCAGGTGACACTGTCCATCCCTATGTCCTCGTGTCTGTAAAGACTTCTGGGCTCTGGTTCTGGCTTGTGCATGGTGAGATGTCTGGCAGGTGACTCATCCACTCAGCAAGCCAATGAGCGCTTACTACTTACAGAGAATGGGAACTTGTAGGTTTGTGTCAGAGTCTTACCTGGGTTATAAAGGGAGAGGCTATTGTTGCAGTAAACACAAAGGGGTATGAGGAAGGTTTGGTTTTAGCTTTACCTACTCATTTATTTACTTATTTCGAGATAGAATCTCACTGCCCAGGTTGGCCTGAAACTGAAACTCATTATACAGGACAGCTTAAGCTCAAAGTACAGCAATTCTCCTGCTTCAGCCTCCCAAATGCTAGGATTACAGGCCTGATTTTTTTTCCCCCATTTTTTTCATTTAACTGATTGGCTGACTTTATGATGCTGGCAATGGGATCCAGGGCCTCTGTCGGGAAGCTACACATGTTTTCCAGGAGCACAGGACTCAAATAGTTTAAAATATCAAGTTCATGGATCCTGCCTCTTTACTAACAATAAATAGATAGATAGATAGATAGATAGATAGATAGATAGATAAATAAATAAAACAAATCAGTATTTACTGCAAGAAACATTGTCTCTTATACAGCACCACTCTTGCAAACTCATGTGAACATGCACGCATACATGCGTGCACATGCACACACACACACACACACACACACTCAAACATAATAAAAATATGGGCTGGAGAGATTGTTCAGAGGCTAAGAGCACTGGCTACTCTTAATGAGGACCCAGGTTCAACTCCCAGTACCTACATGGTGGCTCAACCATCTATAACTGCAATCCCAGGGGATCTGACACTCTTCAGGCCTCCACGGGTACTGCATACACATAACACACATGCAAGATAAATGACCTTACACACACAAGAATTAATAATAATAAAGATAAGAAATGAAAATGAAAACAGGATAAAATTGAATTAGTGAGAAGTCTCTGTATTGTTATTTTTCTTCTTATAATAAAGAAAAAAAAAGGACTGGTAAATACAGCTTAAGGGAGAATGTATTTTGGTTCACAGTTGGAAGGCGCAGTCCATAGCGGCAGGAAAATGAAGTAGCTGCTTACATTGCATCCAAAATTAGGAAGCAGAGAGAGGAACACTGGTGGCCAGCGCAGCTTTTCCTTTTTGTTCAGTCTGGGCCAAGCCCATGTATGCCACTGTCCACATTCAGGGTGGGTCTTCCCACCGCAGTCAAACCTTCCTGGAAAACATCCTCATATGAACATGCCCAGAAGTCGGTTTCCCTGGTGATTCTAACTTTAACTCCAGTCTAGTTGACAGTGAAGATTAATCATCACAGTCTTGATTTATTTGATGGTAAGAATAGTAACATTAGCCATGTCACAAAACCTCTAAGAAGAATACAAGTAAAAAATATTGCATGTAAAAGTGCTTAGCTCAGGCGTGGTTTACACTTGGTTTTGATAACCAGTAACTACTTTTATTTGATAAAAATCTATGAGGGGTGGAGCTGAAGAGATGGCTCAGTGGATAAGAGCACTTAGGTCCTAATACCCATGTCAGATGGCTCACTCCCTTTCTAGGGAATATAACACCCTCTTCTGGACCCTATGAGCAGAGGCACACATGCTGCACAGACATGCTTGCAGGCAAAACACTCATGCATAAAATAAAAGTTTTAATTTAAATGTTTTATTCTGTGAATGAGATATATATGCAACACAAGTATTTAAGGAAGAACTTTTTTCAGTTCTGAGGACCAAACCAGGGGTTCCTGTAAACTAAGCAAGCACCCTACTGCACGAGCTACATCCCCAGCCCACAGCAAAGAATTGGATTCAGTATTAAAGTTGATTGAAGGACAAGGGCAGGGAGCTTTTCTTAAACTTACTCAGGAGATTCTAGTTGAAACTGGACTTAGAGAGCTAGGGCAGAAATCAAGGTCAAGTCAAGAGGAGGACTCAAGAGAACTCTGACCCATATTTTAGTCCTAGTCCTTAACCAAAGATAATCTCCTAAGAATTACTGTAGTTTAGCTGGGCAGTGGTGGTGCAGGCCTTTAGTCCCAGCACTTGGGAGACACAGGCAGGTAGATCTCTATGAGTCGGAGGCCACCCTTCTCTACAAATCAAGTTTGGGACAGGCTGCAAAGCTACAGAGAAACTTTGTGTTGAAAGTAGCCCCCAAAAAAGAATAACTGTAGGGTTTTTTGTTGTTGTTGTTGTTTGTTTTGTTTTTTTTTTTTAACTGTTTGGCTTTTGGGGACCTACCACCCAGCTCCCAAATAAATACATGGAGGCTTATTCTTTCTTATAAATGCCTGGCCTTAGCTTGGCTTCTTATTTGCTTATTATGTATAGTGTTCTGCCTGCATGTATGCCTGCAGGCCAGAAGAGGGCACCAGATCTCATTATAGATGGTTGTGAGCCACCATGTGATTGCTGAGAATTGAACTCAGCACCTCTGGAAGAGCAGTCAGGGCTCTTAACCTCTGAGTTGTCTCTTCAACCCCTAGGTTGGCTTATTTCTATCCCATTTTTCTTAACTTAAAGTATCTCTTCTACCTTTTGCCTCTGTGCTTTTGTCTTTCTCTATCCTATATACCTTTGTTTATTTCTTACTCCAGGACTTGCTGTGTAATTGTGTGGCCAGCCCCTAGTGTCCTCTCTCCTTTTATCCATCCTCAATCTTCTCTTTTTCTCCTTCTATTTATTCTCTCTTCCTGGAAGCCCTGTCTATCCTTTCCTTTCTCCTGCCTAGCTATTGACTATTCAGTTCTTTATTAGAACAGTCCAGTGTTTTAGACAGGCAAAGCAACAGAGCTTCACAGAGTTAAACAAATGCAACATAAAAGAATACAACACATCATTAAATAAATATTCCACAGCATAAGTGAATGTAACACACCGTAAAATAATATTCCACAACCAATTACAACTAGTCAGAGTGCCGGGCATTTTTCAGCAGTCAGGCTAAAGGGTGTGGATTTGCAGCATATAGTAGGAGAATGTGGATATTACATAATGTTTTTCTGTTTGTTTGTACTTTGGTTTTTCAAGACAGGATTTCTCTGTGTAATAGCCCAGGCTGTGCTGGAAGTCAGTATGTAGACCAGGCTGACCTTGAATTCATTGAAATCTGCCTGCCTCTGCCTACCAAGTGCTGGGATTAAAGGTGAGCACCAGCACTGCCTGGCACATAATGTTCTATAAGAAACAGTGCCAACAAGGTTCTTAATCTCTAGATCCTTTGGTGAAAACTTTAAGTCAGGACTAGGGTAGAGAGCTCAGTGATAGTAGGAGGAGACTGTCTGGCATATATGAACCCATGTATGATCCCCAATACCACAAAGAAAACTTTTATCTGATTGTACAGGAGCCATACAAAACTAGTATTCTGTGATTCCAACCTGCTTAAGCATGTAGTGCTTTAACATGCATTCCCTATAGAGGGGAACAGAGAGCTCCTCTGCTCCTGCTCTGCTGTTTGAATCTTCCCAGCTGCTCTAAGGGTGAGCGAGAGCAAGCACTCCAATGAGAACTGTGCTTGATGACATGTGTGCATTAGGGTGCAGAAGCTGGACACCTACCAGGAGTACAAGGAGGCTGCGTCTGCCTACCAGGAAGCCTGGAGCGCACTCCGAAGGAAACCACCATTTGCATCCTGGATCAGAAACCCACCCTACTACCACCAATTTAAATGAACTCTTGCTGCTACCAGGATCCTTCATATTGATCTGCCTTTTCTCAGAATGCTGCATGTCTTCAGTGTCATATAATGGAACCCAGAACCTCATCAATCTGTACTTGATTGGAATTGCTAGCTCCTTGCTAAAATGGTCTCTCAATGATGACCTTGGTATTTGCCTTGAGTTATGTTTTATTGGTTTTCTAAAATACAACATCAGGTATGATGCTTTTTAAAGCAATCTGCAGCAGCTCTGATTAGGCAAGTGTACATTGGATGGAAATTGTATTAGAGTGTCTAGATACTTCGGAGCTCCTGGAGTAGTGAACATGTATTTCATATTTCCAGCCTGCCTTTGGGAACCACCATTTCCCAGTTCTCTACAATCAGATGTGGTTGAAGTCAACTTCACTCTCAGGCTCAGCACAGGACTAGCCTCGGGAAGCTCTGTTCTCAGACCTGCCAAGAAAGGTTGGTTTGTTGTTTGAGACAGAGTCTCACTTTGTAGCCTGTGTTATCCTTGACTTTCAGTCCTGCATCAGCCTTCCAAGTGCCAAGATGATAGGCATAAGCCACCATCATAACTAGCCCAAAATATTCTCATTCTTTCCCTCCCTCTCTCCCTCTCCTTCCTACCTCTCTTCTTGAGACAGGATCCTTGAACTCACTATGCAGCTAAGGATGACCTTGAACTCTGACTTCCTGCCTCTGCCTCCAAGTGTAACACCATACTTTGCTTCCAGGAATCTCTTCTGATCAGGGTTATAGGGTCATTATAATCTTGAACTGCCAGTAGTTGCCATCTTTTCCTACCACATAGAGACAGCCAGCTGAGAATGAAGGCAACCATTGCTGTTTGACCAAGTTCCAGCATTTCAACATTGCAGACCACACTTCTCCAGCACCTTATTACTTTCATGTTTAATGATTCTCAATATCAATGCCTTTCCCTTTGGGAAATTTTGTTCGGTCTTTGGTAAAGAATAAAAATGTGTACAATGGTAGCCTCTCTAAACACAATAATTCTTTGGAAAAAATTCCCGCCACAGTGGATTTCCATTGTTCCCTCCTAATTAACCTAGAACAGAGTTAGAGATTTACTAGACACACCTGTAGACACACTTGATCCCAAGGATGAGACGCCTGAAACTCAAATCCAGAGGCTGAGGCCATTAAGGACAAGAGTTCAATTAATAAATATAGAGAAATCAGGATGGTACTTTATAATGGGAAAATAGTAAGACATCAGGACCTTCCCCTTTTGGAAACGTGTAAGAGAAACAGGCCCACATAGTATGACTAAGAAATTGTATAGGGGCTGGACAGATGGCTCAGAGGTTAGGAACACTGACTACTCTTCCAGAGGTCCTGAGTTCAATTCCCAGCACCCACATGGTGGCTCACAACCATCTGTAATGAGATCTGGAGCCCTCTTCTGGACATGCAGGAGGAACTATGTGTACACAATAAATAAAATAAATCTTTAAAAAAAAAAAAAAAGTAAAGAAATTGTAGTATAAGCCAGGTGGTGGTGGTACATGCCCTTAGTCCCATCGCTCAGGAAGCAGAGACAGGCAAATTGCTAACTTTGAAGCCAGCATGGTTTACAAAGTGAGTTCTAGGATAGTCAGGGCTGTTACACAAAGAAACCCTGTCTCAAAAAATAAAAGAAATTGTGGTATAGTGTCTGCTCCCAGAAGTCCTTTTCCCAAGGTCAGGCATTTGGATAAGGGTTTGCATTCCTTTGGGAGCTTGAGGAAAGTTCCTGCTTGATAAAGCAGTCCTTCTTATCTCTAGCAAGAGGAATTTGTGGCCCTTCCAGTAAGATGTGACTGGTGCCTATCATCAAGGTCAATGCTAGATTCCTCAAGGCACATTCCAGCTCACAGTATAAAAGGTATAGTCTTTTTTTTTTTTTTTTTTTTTTTTTTCCAACTAAACACTGCTGGTAGCCATCCTGATTCACCTTTAGTCCTTCAGATCAAGTTTTTCTTCTCTTCCCTGCCACTCCATACACACAAACACACACACCACACACACACTGCAGGCAGCAAAGGAGAAAATGGCTAAAACAGCCAGAAGCTCTAGTATCCAACCTGCACCCAAACTCAAATATGAGACAGGTGCCCACTTTATTTTGTCTGTAACTTATTGATGGGGGCCTACACATGTCACAGTGTATGTGTGGCGGTGCACCTTTGAGACACGGTTTCTCTGTGGCTTTGGAAGCTGTCCTGGAACTAGCTCTTGTAAACCAGGCTGGCCTCGAACTCACGGAGATCTGCCTGCCTCTGCCTCCAAAGTGCTGAGATTAAAAGCAGGGTTATTTTCTTTTTAATTTAGTTCCAGAATGCCTTAAATTCCTACAGTAAATCAGCAACATACCTAGCAGCTAGTCCTATTTTAACTGTCATCAAAGAGAGCTCTCAGTTTATTCCCACCTTGAAGAACTGGCTATAAATAGCTCTCCTCTTTGTTACCCAAGGTCACTACTTTTTATAGCTTTTGCTTGTTTGTTTTGCTTTATTTTTTTGAGACTGGATTTTTCTGTGGAGCCCTGGAACTTACTGTGTAGACCATGCCGACCTAGAACTCAGATATCTACCTGCCTCTGCCTCCCAAGTGCTGGGATTGAAGGCATGTGCCTCCACTGTCTGGCTTTTTTTTTTTGGTAAGATTTTACTTATTTTTATGTATGTAATGAGCCATCATGTGGTTGCTGGGAATGAATGAATTAAACTCAGGACCTCTGGAAGAGCAGCCAGGGCTCTTAACCAGTAAGCCATCTCTCCAGCTCCCCAGCCTGGTCTAGAGTTCCAGGACAAGTTCCAAAAGCTACAGAGAAATGTGGTGTCAAAAAATAAATAAACAAATGAAAGAAAAAGTTAAATATAATCTAATAACCTTAGACACTGGAATGTGGGTAGAAAGTACCAAAGATTAGACAGACAGTAGAGGACACTTTATCTTCACTTGGACCTGTGTCCTCAAGAGCTCAGGGTGCTATTTAAACATCCAACAGCTTACCTTTTTATGCTCTTAAAACCCAATTTCTAGTATTGGAAGTGCTTGATTGCTTTCAGACTGTGTCTCATGAAACCTAGACTTCCCTTGAACTCCTTCTCTTCCTAAAATCCCAAGCCAGAAACCTGGGCTCCCCATATAATTATCCCTCTCTTTGTCTGTCCCCAGACACCAGCAACATTCTCTGGTCTGAGCCTTTCACCGATCCCATGAACACCTAGAGCTAAAGTGGCTTCAGATTGTCATTGGACTCGTGTGTCTGTTATGGTCCTCTCCAGACTCTAGTTGCAGCAAGCTGCTTTCTTTGGTGAAGTCAGAGGATATACATTGCCCTCACATTCATGCATGTCCCTGACACACATCCACAGACCTCACTGGGGTTCGCAGATCAACACCAGGGACAGGCCAAGCAGCAGAACAGTGTGCCCTAATCATCAGAGAATCTAGGAAAGGCAGAGGAGCCTAGGCCTTACATGGGCTGGGCAAGTTTTTTTTTTTTTTTTTTTTTTTTTTTCAATTTTTTTTGTTTGTTTGTTTTGTTTAACGATAGAAAGCATTTTGTATTTTTAAACACCAAAAGCTCCTCAGAAGTGATGCTGCATAGGAAATGGAGTCATAGCATACCTTAAGCTGCATAGGAAATGGAGTCATAGCATACCCATAATTATGCAAAATTGTGTCTTCATTTTAAAAAAAAAGTCATCCTAACTTGGCTCTGGAGGAAGATTGCACTTTCACCATTGCCGATTTTTTGTCTGTATTCCTAAGTAGGATCTAATGTTATGACTGTATGTGTGTAAGAGTTATTCGCAGTTTGATTCAGGTACACAGTGTACGTGCTCATATCCCTGCTCCAGGACAGGGTTAAATGTCCTGTTTTATCCGGTGCACCAGCGCCAAGCATGAGCTCACTGTCTGAGGAAATGAAACTGCTGTGGGGAAAATGGCTGCCCCCCGCGGCCAGTGCCTTGCTGGAGAAGTGCGGGCCTTGTTTGATTTGCTTGTGTCTGTGGCTGCTGGAAAGCTGTCCCCACCCAGACCTTGACATTTTTGGCCTTAAGACAATGTTCCAAAGCCAGGGTTTCCAGTTTCTAAGCACCAGCTCTCTCTTGGCTAAGTTTTCAAGTACTGATTGCTCCTGTGTGGTGAGAAAGTCCCACAGCAGCACAAAGGTCAGTGAAGTAGGAACTGGCCTCCAAATGGAGATGAGAGAGAGAGAGTGTGTTTGTGTCTGTCTGTCTGTGTGCTAGCGAGGAGTGGTGTGCCATGCCTGATCTTAGAGCCAGGGAGGCAAACCTCTTGGAGAAAGGTGTCCTATATATTTTCTGAATAGAGTTTATTTTATATGTACCTCATTTTGAGGAATCATGGTTGGCCTTGACTTCCTATACATGTGAATCTCTTTAAAACTAATTGTAAAAACAAAAAACTGGGCAGTGGTGGCACATGCCATTAATCCCAGCAGATCAAAGTTGAAAGGCCAGATCCCTGAGTTGAAGGCCAGCCTGCTCTACCAACATTGAAACCCTGTCTCAAAAAACACAAAAAACTGAAACTGTGTGTAGTCAGGCAGGCCAGCCTGTTTCCCTGGAAAGCTCTGAAGTAGATGCCAACCATTTTCCTTTCCTTCTTCCTTCCTTCCTTCCTTTCATTCATTCATTCTTTTTTTTAAATATTTTTGGGGGGCTGTTTGTTTGTTTGTTTGTTTGTTTGAGATAGGGTTTCTTTGTGAAACAGTCCTGGCTGTCCTGGAACTCACTCTGTAGACCAGGCTGGCCTCGAACTCAGAAATCCCCCTCCACAGCCTCCCAAGTGCTAGGACTAAAGGCAGATGCTACAACCACCCAGCTCTAAACCATTTTTCAGTGGTTCTGTAGCCCAAAGGAGAGAGGGAGTTAGTCAGAGGTACTTCAACTGTAGCAAACCTTTGAATTCAGTGTCAGAGGGTAGAACACAGCACTTGGCATGTGCAAGTGGCTAGTTTCAATCTCTAACACTGGGGAAAAAAAAGAAACCAAAACTATAGCCTCAAAAAAAAAAAAAAAAAAAAATAGAAAGCAATATAAATCAGAGGGCTGTGCCCAAAGTGGTGGCTTGATAGAGACTCAACAGAACTCTAGAGGGTAGAAATTGGCTGCTTTGACAGTTTGTTTGGTTGGTAACTTTTTGAGTGGAGGTCCAGGCTCCCCTAGGACTCCTGATGCTCCTAGTTTTCAAAGTGCTACTACAAATGTGTGTAGTCATGCCTGGCTAACAGTCTGGGTTTTAACTGAAGTATTAAGTACAGGAATGCACATCTTGTGGAAGTTTATTGAGGTCTACAGTTATGTTCTGTGGACTTTTTTAAATGTAATTTTACCTTGATTAGAACATGAAAGGAGAAAGGCTTTATTAGTTACTTTGATAGTGGAATAAATGAGTGTGACCACTGAAGCAATTTCATCGCAGTTGCCACCTCTGCCATCAACTTCCAGGTGTATGTAGGGAAGGGATTTAACTTGGACTTCTGACCTCCATTCTGTTCTACAAAATAAATGGCAACAATTCGGGTGCTTGTTTTCTTTCAAGTGTAAGGTAGGGTTTCTCATTTTTAAAAACTGTATGTATGTGGTGCTAGGAATTAACTCAGCATCTTGCACATGCTAAGCAAGTCCTCTGAGCTATTCCCCCAGCCCCATTAAAAACAACAACAACAACAAAAATTCTTAATAAGGTCCAGTGTGGTAGCATACACCTTTGATCCGGGCATGAGAAGCAGAGATAGGCAGATAATTTTTGAGTTCAAAGCAAGCCTGGTCCACATAATGAGTTCTAGTACACTAGGACTACATATTGAAACCCTTTCTCAAAATAAATCTTATATATAAAGCAAGAGACATTTTCTTCAGTCTGTTGATATTGTGACATGCATATGGCCTCAGTAAATTAGTGACAGGGGACAGGCACTTGAGAGTGGTGTGGGGGGAAAATCTTTTCCATT